GAATCAGGAAAAGACTTTGTGTAAAACTTGGCAGATGGGCTGGAAAGATTAGATAGAATTTTAACAGATGGGGTAGAAAAAAGATATTTTAGGTTGAAGAAAGCTAGTCAAGTTTTGAGCAATATTGTGTTTTCTGCTCTTTCCTTACAGCCATCTTATCTAAAAGAATTTTCACTGATCATATTAAGATTTAAGTCTGTTTACTCTTTAGGCAAAGTAATTATGACCAGCTGCCACTCTAATCAAATGTTTCTAATTATTTTTTTTAAGTTAAATGTGAATTTTATCACTATGAATTATCTAAGGCAATAGTGTAAATAGAAGTGTAAGTCTTTTCATATTTTATATTATATGCTCTTGCCCTATCAATTTGTTTCATAAAATTCATATTTTATAAATTTTTGTGTAAATTTGTATTTATGTGTACAGTAAGGCTCAGCCAGATTCCTTAATGCATAAATTATTCCCTAGTGCTTTAAAATATATATATTTTTAAAGTTACATTAAGGGTATCATTTCACTAGCATTTGTTCCTTTACAGCCAAGATCATGACCTAGACACCAGCGTTTTTCCCTAGTGGAGTATGAAGCACACTGGGACTAAGTCTTTGCTGGGCAGCTTCATAAGTTTAGGCCAAAATGTTACCATTTTTTACTTCATTTGTTGGAAATGTGGCCTACTCCATTTATCTGTAACAGCTCATTTGCTTTCTTTTCCATTTTCCTTTGCTCAAGACAGTAAATAGCACTGCCACAAACTGCATGGTTAGGTTAACACTTTCACTTCTCTTTAAACATCTCTCATCTAACCTAATCCTTTGCCAGGTGTTGTCTTCCTACTTCCTCATAGTGCCTTGGAAGTAGATTTCTATGCTACTCTTCCAAGAGGAAAAGAAGACTGTGTAATTTGCTTTCGCATACAGCATTTTTAATAGTAACAGGAAGAGGTTAATTTTACCCTGTGACACACTGTATGTTAAAGACAGGTTAAACACTTCCCTTGGTCAGGGAAAAAAAAAATAAAATAAATGGCTCCTGAAATTTTTTTCCTGTTCAGTTCAGAGATTCAGAGTTTTCTCTCTCTCTTTAGTCAAGATGTAAAGTGGTGTTTGGAATTACCACTGTCCCGCTGCTGCTTGCCGTCTTCATTTTGATGTCTGCTTCTCTATAAAGATTAACACATTTTCCACTCATGATTTACTTGTCAGGGAATTTAGGAGTTTTCTGGAACCTGAAGTCCCGCCTTGGGTAGTGTTGATTACTGGATAATTGCCTATTCTTTGGTGGAATTTCCATTTTTAGATTACACCAGGCTCTACAGCCTTTACTTCTTTGGCAGAAGAACCCAAAGGCAATGGAGTATTTTTCCCCCTTCCCCAGCCCAGCTTAAACAGTGACTCACTTGAGCCCTGGGGCTTTGCTTCATACTTTCATTCAGGGGCCACTTTCTACCCTGTTGTTCCTATTTGCTTTTAGTGTTCTGTTTGGAACCTCTTGTATCCTTTGGCACATGGACTTTCCTCTGAGGTTATTGTCAGAGAAGTATGCAACACCACTCCTAAACTGGAACACACAAGCTAGTTACGTCCCATAAGCTATGTTGTTCTTATGGCAGCTGATAGAGGTCAGAGAGAGTACAGAAAGAGTCTTTAAGAAACATAATTCCAAAAAAGGTAGAGAGAGGACTATTCTCCAAAAAGACATGAGTGCCAGTGTCATCCAGTTAAAGACTGAAAGATTTTCCTCTATATGAGATGCTCCAGTCACTGATAAAATTTCCTCAGTGGTGTATGTGGGAAGGGGGAAGCACTCAGAGGAACTGGACTCCAGCAGTTTTCAGAGGGATGTGGTTATGTGAAGAGACTTCCTTCTAGATGGACTTGGTCTAATCTATAGTTCAGAGCTTTGTTGGAGAAAAACTGTTTTCCCCCTTTTAGACAGTGGTTCTGCCTCGTCTTGATCTTTCACTCTGACTTCAGCCTTCCGTAATTATGCATCTAATGGTGATTTCTTGATTTTCCTCTTTGCAGTTTTACCAGTGTATGTCAGGGAACTCACATTCTCTTTCGGGAATTCAGCTTCATCCAAGCCACCCCTCACAACAGGGCATCATTCCTTCGGGCCTTCTGGAGATGCTTCCGAACTGTGGGCAAAAACGGTGGTAAGTTTTCCCAGATCCTTTTCTGGCCTTCTTTTCTTCCCTCTGAACTTCCATCTTCCTTTTGTTCCTGTAAATACTGTTTGAGTGCCTGCTATTGAAGGTTCTGGGCACACCTTACTTTTGAGGAACCCTCTGTCTTGTGTCAGAGATACTACCTCCTCCATTCCTATGACCTTCACATCATCATCACTAATGAGTGTATTGAGAGCCAAGTGAGGCTCTGAACACTTTACTTGCAGTAATTGACTTACTTTTCATGTCTCTCTTTGGTAGATACTGTAACCCTCATTTTATAACTAATGAAACTGCAGATCAGAGGGGTTAACTAACTTGGCAAAGTTCAACAGTAAATGCTGCGGCCGGATTTATACCCAGGCAGTCTGGCCCCGGAGCCTTAGCTCTTGGCAGATATTAAAATACCATTCAGTAAATTCAAGAAGTGATGTGAATGCAAAGAAAGAAACTCCTGAGTAGGGGGTGGGATAGGGATACTATTGTTAGAGAATGGGGAGAGAGAGGATTAGAGAAGCTTCTCCTGAGAACTGGCTGTTTGATCTAAGTTGGGAAGGAAGAGTATGAGTTGTCCACATGGGTAAAGGAGAGAAGGGCATTCTGGATAGAGCATGTGCTGTGGTATAGAAGCATAAAAGAACCTGGAATATTTAAGAAACTGAGAAGATCAGAATGGCTAGAGTTTGTGAAGAAGGTGAGGGGAGATGAGCCAGTAATGGAATAAAAGAATGTCAGGTACTGAAAGACATTTTTTGCCATAAAAAAGGGTATTTTATGTAGGTATTATATTTGTATTTTATTCTGTAGGTACTATATGAAGGATTTTAGAAACCTGGTGTGATGATACCTGAATTCTAGAAAGAGCATTCTAGAGGCAGTATGGAAATGGCTTAGAGGGCAAGCCTGGAAGCTGGGAGCATAGTTTGCAGTAGTTGAGGTGAGAAATATCAAGAGCCAAAACTAAGGCAGCCTCCATAGAGATGGAAGGGATACTTTCAGAGATAGGATCCACAGGACTTGGTGATTTGGTTTGGCCTGTAAGATGAGTGAGAAAACCAGTAATACATTTCCAGGTAAGAAATTATCCATCTCCACAACTTTTTCATCTTTCCAAACTGAAACTCTGTACCCATTAAACACTAACTCTTCATTTTCCCCTTCCTCCAGCCCCTGGGAACCACTATTCTACTTTCTGTCTCTATGAGTTGGACTCTACTAGGTATCTCATATTAGTGGAATCATATTTATCCTTTTGTGACTGACATTTCATTTAATATAATGTCCTCAGAGTTCATACATGTTGTGGCAAGTGTCAGAATTTCCTTCCTTTTTAAGGCTAAATAATACTCCATTGTATATGTATACATTTTATTGTCCATTCATCCATTGATGGACACTTGAGTTGTTTCCACCGTTTGGCTGATATGAATAATATAAGTTTTTGAAAGTTGATATTTCTTTGGGACACAGTTAAAAAGCTTCAGTAGGGAGCAGGAAATATAGTTCAGGTTCTTGAAATAAAGATTTGGGGAAGTAGGTTCTAGAACTGCAGATTTTGAGAAGTAGAATAAAGTTGACTAAAGTAAGTTTTTCATTTCACCTTCCAAATCCTCAAGATAAGAGCTATGTGCATTGGAAAATGCAAGTTGTTCATACTGTTGGTTTGGCATATTCTGATTATAATCTAAAGAAAATATTAAGGAAAACACTGATTGAAAATGTCTTTATTGAGACTTTAAAGATCTTGGTAGATGATGGGCAAAAGGTACCCACTGAGAGCTTCTTTTTAAAAATGGAATTAGATCCTTACATTCAGAATATTGAAACAGATTAAATTGCTCCAAAATTTTCTGATTTAGAATCTCTACATCAAAACCTTGGTTCACATCTGCTTTTAAGGGCCTGTTTCTATTCCCACCTTCATATTATATGTTATTTCAAATTAGTAGTGAATACCTTTAAAACAGTTTCTTTAGTAGAGGAAGGCATAAACTATTTCCTTTCATTTAACAAATATTTCTGGTAGACTTACCATGTGCCTGGCACTGGGGTGAGAGTAAGCGAACAGGTACACTCCCTGCTTTCATTGAATATACAAGATCCCCCATCCTGCTCTAATGGATGCTACTGCTACTTTATATATAGCTACTGAAACTTTTTTTCTAAAATTCCTTCTACAAAAATAAATAAGTAGCCCAGCCGGGCATGGCTCAGCGGTTGAGCATCGACCTAGGATCCAGGCAATCAGGGTTCGATTCCCAGTCAGGGCACATGCCCGAGTTGCGGGGTCAAACCCCAGTCGGGGGCGTGTGGGAGGCAGCCGATCAGTGACTCTCTCATCATTGATGTTTCCATCTCTCTCTCTCTCTCTCCTTTCCTCTCTCTGAAATCAATAAAGATATATTTTAAAAATAAATAAGTAAATAAGTAAATAAATAAATGAACACCTTCTACCTAGTGTCTTATTAGGTCATTTCTACTATCCTAAGAAATAAGGTAGATATTATTGTGCCCGTTTTATAAATAATGGAATTGTGTAACTTGTACGATTGCACAGTGGATTAGTAACAAAGGTAGAAATAGAACTCAGATTTACTAATTTGCTAATGTGCTACTTCTACTGTTTCTAGTATTCTGGTCACACATTGGCTTCTGTGACATGCAGTCTAGAGATCATCCATCTCAATTACACTATTGTGCAAGAAAGACTTAGTGTGCCAAGAATAACATTATCTCCTTTACAGAATATATGTACTAGAGGGCAGAAATCAGTGTGACCCAATTTTAAGTGAACTACCTTAGAAAAACTAACCCATTGGTCTCTGCATAAACAAAACTGGGAGCTGTGAATGTATAGGTGAAGTTTGTACACTTTTATCAGAACCTGTCTTTCCCACTCCTTTCCATTCCCTTAATCAGTCAGCAAATATGTATGAAATACTCGCTATATTGAAGAACGGTGCACATAGAGATGATTTCTGTGAAATAGCACATGGAGATAACTATGGAAAACAGTCTTTAAATGTCCTTTTTTCTCTTCCTAATTTAGAAGTGGGGCCTCTTCAAGAATTTATTTACTATCACAAGGGATCCATATAGCATGTGGATTCTTAAGCAGATGTGGGTTTCTTTATCTTTCTTATAGCAGCTGCCAGTGATTCGTCCAGCTGCTGAGAGGGAGCACCTCCAAGTTCTCCCTGTTTCTCCTGTGCTATAAACAAAACCTAGATGTTATGCTTGATGTTTTTTGCTGTGCTCCTTAATCAGACAATTTCTGATTTCTTAAAGACCGAAGGCAACATTTGTGTCTAGATGATACTAAAATCTTTGGTTTTGAATAGTTTTAATATATTCTCAGTTTCTTCCAGGAAACTTTAGAATACTTTTCAGTCCCAGAATGTGTCAGTCCCCAATTTTAATCCAAAATGAGCAAAAACATTCAGAGGCAAAGTTCCAAAAGAAAGTATTAAGCACCATTTTTTCTATTAGAATGCCAAGTCCCAGGCTCGTAGTCATTGGAGTCTCTACTGTGTTATTCTCCTGCAGACAAGACAGCTTCTTAGGGCACCGTGTACATATTAGAGCACTCTCAAGAGGAGATAACTTCTGGGGAAAGAAGAGCAGAGTTCCAGCGTAGTACATCTAAAACCAAAGTAAGTTATAGAAAACTAGGGACCTGATCCCTACAGAAACAGTTTATCCAAGTTTTTAGTAAGTACTGGGAAGCAGTATCATTTCTGCAAATCTTGAGTATTGAATAATGCTAATTTTCATATGTCTGAATTTCAAATAACCTCATGAAGGCTATAGTGAATCGCTTGATATGAAGCAACTTTAAACTCTTGGAAGCAAAAAAAAAAAAATCTATTCAAACACAGTAACTCTTTAAAATTCAACTTCTCACTTTGGTATTTCTTTCAGTGTAGAAAGATTAATCTGAATTTTCCAAGTCTGGCAAAAAATTAAAATTCCCTTCAAGTAAATCTTCACTTCTGTTTAGGGATATTGGCTCAAAAAGAGCTTTTGTCCATAGTCTATTTTCACAGTTTATTAGAATTTAATTTTGAGCTTTGTGCTTTTATCAATGAATATATAATTTCATTTAATAAAACAGTGATAGATACTTCCTCTTCTGCCCATGAAGTGCCTACTAAGGGAACTGTCCTCTTGGCATAAACAACTGGAAAATCAGACAATGTCCAATTGTATGAAACAGGACTGTGGTCTCTGAGAGGCAGTTGCCAAGGGACAGTACAGGGAAGAAGATCATCAAAGAGCCCGGCAGTCTTTGACTGTTGAGGAGTTGAGTTGAGGAGGCAGAGATTGGGGTTTAGGGAAACCAAGGTGGCCAGAATTTGTAGGGCAGAGTACCAGAGAGGAGGGAGTAAGTACCTCAGTAAGTTCTAGAGAGCTACAAGCAGATATTTGAGCCTTTGGCTATAAACTCTGCACATGTGTGGGTTGGAAAAAGAGCCACCAGAAAACAGTAGGCCAAATAATTCCTGGAATATACACAGGGCTAAGGGTAGTTCATACTTCCACCAGCCAGAGTTGAGAAACCTCAAAATACACAGGACATTGGCATTGGATAGAGTCCTCAGCAGCTTAAAAGCAAAAAAGATTCAACTGATAGGCATGTAACTTAATTGTATACCTAAACAAAATTAATAGTCCTAAAGGAATTCAATAAAATCTAACACTCAACAATATAAAATTCACAAAGTCTAGCATCCAATTAAAAATTACCAGACATTAAAAGGGGCAGGAAATATGACCCATAACTAGGAGAAACAAATTAATCAATTGAAACAAAGACCCAGAAATGACACTCTCTGATTTTCTGTTCGTTTGTGCCAGGAGGACAGTTCCCTTAGTAGGTACTTCTCCATGGGTAGAACAGGAAGTACCTATTACTATTTTATTAAGTGAAATTATATATTTATTAGCTAATAAGGACCTTTGAACGGTTATTTTAAATCATATAAATA